CTCATATGAATGCTCTTGGAGATAAATTAAGTGAAAAGATAAGATGCAGAGAGTGCACATAACTTTGCTTACATACACACTGTGTTAAGGGAAAAATGCATAATATTTTCTTGGCTCTAAGACACCATCAATTGTGAATGCATTATTGTTATTCATCATTAAGACAGGAAAATTGTTGCCAATCAAAATTATGGCTTCATAAATTAAAATACATGAATGTGTTTTCCAAGATGTAAAGAAACGAAGTTTTAGAATTGATAGAATATGGCATGTTAGTATTTGCATTTACTTGCATGGTGTATATATAGTTATCATCACATCTTTTGGGACCACGGGGACTGGAGCTGCCCTGCTTGGGGGCTTTGCACTGTGTGTGGGCTGAGGTGACCACAGGACTTTGGACAGACCTCTCGGAGCCACCAAGGGAGGTCAAGAGTGATGTGGTCGTGTGCTGGTATCTTTCTCTGGCGTGCTGAGTCACACTGGTCTCCTGACCTGGTGTCCATGCTCTGCCCCGCTTGCTTTCTGGTTTGGGACTAGACTAGACAATGTAGAACCGAATCTAAGTGTGATTCCCACCCACCCTGGGAACCAAGAAGAGATGCTGTGGTGTGTACTTGCACAGCCTCATAAAGCAGGCAGAGTCTGGCACTCCGTGGGTGACGAGATGCCACTGCAGGAGTGTTAAAGTGGGCGAGGTCGTTGGCCACGGAGGTGGGGCGGGGCGCAGAGTGGGCAGTGAGGGTTCCTGGTTGTCAGGGAGATGTGAGCAGGTACTGGAGCTTCCTCTCCTTGGTATTTTCCCCAGCGCCGAGCGTAGACCTGGCACGGGATGCCCTCGGTGCATTTCATAAAGGAAGGTCATTGGGGAGAGTTCCAGGCTGAAACCTGGGACTAGACTTTGAAAGAAATGGAAACTCCTATTCAACTCTTGGGAAACACTCCCTATTTAGGTTGTTTATTAAAGATGTGGGTTCTCAAGAAATGATCATAGGGGCTCCGAAGAAATTCTGTAAGGTCATGTGGCCTGATTCAAACAATGGGAAGCTCGGAGCCAGACACCTTAACTACATTGTGCCTGCAAACACCGTACCATCCCTTCCCAGCACTGTTAGAGGACAGAGGAACAGTCGTGCCTCCTGTGTTTTAGACCGGTCCTTTTCTGAAGGGCGTCTTTCTATACAGGGGCTGAGCTTGTGTTACTGAAAGCTCAGAAATGGAGTTCTATCGTTTCCCTGGAATTATTTACATGTGAATTATTCCATCAGCTGTTCCTCTTTGGGAGATTTCACTCCAAGTATTCAACATACCAACCTATTCAAACACCGAAAAACCATGGTGTTTCTGTTAAACCTTAGCCAACAACTCATAACCTTAATGCAGAGGCCATTTTAAGCTAGTGTCACCTCGACGGGCCAGCTTCCCCAGGAGCTACCAGGCTGAGAAAATTCCTTAGAAGCCCAGAGGCGGAGATGAACTGTGTTTTGACATTCCTGCCAGCTCAAAGGGGCTGGCAAAGCAGCAGGCCTCAGGGCCCTGCGGTTCCAACTTTGCCTTCTTGGGACATCCAGAGCGGCCTCGCCATTTCACACAGCTGAATGGCAGGGGCAGGTAAGGGCGCTTCGCTTGCTCCCAAAGCCCTTTCCACATGCAACTACGTACCTTTCTTGTAGACCACACGGAGTTGGGTTTTGTATTTTGGTCCACTCCGATATGTCTTTTCATTGGTGTATTTAAACTATTGATGCTTAAAGTGATTATTGATATAGATGGATTGGCAGCTATCATAATTGCTACTGTTTTCTATTTTTTTGTGTGTCCTTGTTCTTTTTTTTTTTGGTCTTTCATTCTTCTTTTCTTTTTTTTCTGCCTCCTCAGGCTTTAAGTATTTTGTATGATTCCATTTTTCCCCTCCTCTTAGAATTTCAATTATACTTTTTAGAGAAAAAATATATATTATATATATTTTACTGACTTTTTACAGATAGGGAGAGGAATAGAGTTAGAAACATCGATGAGAGAGACATCGATCAGCTGCCTCCTGCCCACCCCCTACTGGGGATGTGCCCACAACCGAGGTACATGCCCTTGACCAAAATCGAACCCGGGATCCTTCAGTCCCGCAGGCCGACGCTCTATCCACTGAGCCAACCGGTTAGGGCTATATACTTTTATTGAGAGGAAGAAACATCAACGATGAGAACCATTGATCAGCTGCCTCATGGGAATTGAGCCCACCGCCAAGGCATGTGCTTTTGACTGGAATCAAACCAGGGACCCTTCAGTCCACAGGATGACTCTATCCTCTGGGCCAAACCAGCTAGGGCTCAATTATTTACTTTTTAAAACTGTAACTTTTTTAGTGGCTATCCTTGAGTTAGCAATATGGGTTTACAATTAAAGGAATCATGTAACACTGTACCACCACCACAGGTAGTACCGGTACCTTATAACACAGGATTTCCACTTCCCCTCCCATCCTTTATAATAGTTGTCATTCATTTGAACTATCCATAAGCTATAATCATGGAATCAAATAAGAGCAATAAAAGTTTTTATTTTTTCCTTCATTTAATATTCTTCCTTTCTTCATGTAGATCCATGTTTTAGAACATATATATAATTTTCCTTTTTCTCTAAAGAACTTCTAACATTTCTTGCAGATCTAATCCCTCAATTTTTGTCTGAGAACATATTTCAGAGTGTATAACTCAATAGGTGGTTTTTTTTTTTCCTTAACACTTTAAATTGTCCACGATCCTTGCTTGCTGGTTTCTGAGACATCGGCGGTTCTTATCCTTATTCTGATATTTTCCTTCTGGATTTTTTCAGTACTTTTTCCCTGTGTGTTTGGATATAATATGCTTATATGAATATTTTTTTTGTATTTATCTGGCTTGGTGTTCAAATATTTCCTCTGTGCCTTTTCTTCTCCTTCCAGTATTCTTATCTCGCATGTTACGCTTTTTGCCGTTGTCCCACCGTGCCTGGCAGCCTTTTTCCGCTCTTTAGATTTCAGTCGGGAAGTTTCTGCTGGGGCGTTTTGATTTCTGTAATTTCCTTTGACGCTTGAGTTCCCGTCTGTCTGCATTTATTCCCGCCTGTTCTTGCATGTGTCCTTTTTATTTTTTAACCAGAGTCCCCAGCATATTCATCAGTTGTTTCGAATTCTGTCTGATAATTCTGATGTCTGCGTAGCTGTGCTTGCCCTGTCTCTTCAAAACGCAATGTCTTTTAGTTTGCCTTGTAATTTTTTGTGGCAAGTGGGACATAATGTACTAGGTAAAAAGGATTGAGACACGTTAGTGCGAGGTTTTATGTTTGGCTGTGTTCTGTTTATTAAGGCTCAAGTTTCCTCTGGTGTCCTTGGTCTTTGTTTTCCCAGAGAATTAACAAATGTGACCCGGGATGCATGTTTTTCAGCTGTATTACCTTGTTGCTGTACAGAAGCCCTGCTGATGTGGTGGTGAGGGGAGGGGAGAAGCTGGGTGGGGGGAGAGATGCTCTATAGCAGTGGTTCTCAACCTTCTGGCCCTTTAAATACAGTTCCTCATGTTGTGACCCAACCATAAAATTGTTTTCGTTGCTACTTCATAACTGTAATGTTGCTACTGTTATGAATCGTAATGTAAATATCTGATATGCAGGATGGTCTTAGGCGACCCCTGTGAAAGGGTCGTTCAACCACCAAAGGGGTCGCGACCCACAGGTTGAGAACCGCTGCCTATCGCCTATGACTAGGGCTCAGTCTTTTGTGAGCCTGTGACCCCGAGCTGTGACCTTTACAAGTACTCAGTTGTTTTTCCCTCTTATGAGAGATGGTAAGGTTAAAGGATACTGGAGTTGGGTGTTTATTTCCCTTGTTCCAGGTCAGTTAGGCTCTGGGAAAAATTTCTGTTGAGGACAAAAGATACTGGGCACATTTTTAAAAGGCTACTTCCCCCCTCCTTCTGCTGAAACTATGAGATTTTTTTTTCCCTCCTAAGGCTGGCGCCCCCTGGAGGTTTTCTCTCAAATTTGTCCACTCCGGTCTCCAGCAGTTCATGATTGGATTAGGTTTTCCTGGTCTTCTGCTTAGTTAGTGTAGGTCAGTGATGGTGAACCGGTGACACGCGAACTCATTTTTTTTGGTTGATTTTTCTTTGTTAAATGGCATTTAAATATATAAAAGACATATCAAAAATATAAGTCTTTGTTTTACTATGGTTGCAAATATCAAAAAATTTCTATACGTGACACGGCACCAGAGTTAAGTTAGGGTTTTTCAAAATGCTGGCACGCCGAGCTCAAAAGGTTCGCCATCACTGGTGTAGGCTGTGATTCTCTGCATCTGCCTCTGTCTTCAGTTTTGGGGGCAGCTGGTTTGCCCTATGACCTCAGTGCTTTGATCTAAGAAGAGCTGTTGATTTTCAGTTTGTTCAGCTTTTTTCTTGTGTGAATGGGTGAGATGACCTCCAAACTCCTCCCATGGGCACCAGACACTGGAAGTCTCAAGTGCTTTTCTCTGGGTAGTAAGATTTCTTTGTACTTTTCTTGCTGCCCACATACATTTATTTTATTACTAGAGGCCCTGATGCACGGAATTCATGCAAGAGTAGGCCTTCCTTCTCCTGGCTGCCGGCTTCCCTGGCTTCATTCAGTCTATTTAGCATATTACACTTTTATTATTATGGATGACCAAAAGACGTGTTCCTAGAAAAATTTTTTTTTAAATGACTTTAATTGCTATTGACTTGGAGTAAAATAAAGTAAGGTTTTCTGGCTGGAAAAAAAATTTGAACCCCTGAGAAAGATTGGGGAGGGGTGCTTAGTCCATGGCAGCACCTCTGCCCCTGGGCAAGTTTACAGTCACCCAAGTCCTATACTCCTCTCCCGTGACACACCTGGTTCATTGCAGCAGAATGGCTCTCTCTCTTCTCCCCCCAAATGTTCTGTTGCAGGAGCCCGTCACTCAGGCACCAGGGTTTCAATGCTGGGGAACTCAAAAACAAGAAGCAACATTTGTTGAGCTAAACTGTCTCTTTATTAGGAAAGCACCACCACCACATTCTTGGAAATTACTGGAATTTTATTTGCCTCAGGCTTATGACTTGCAACCAAAGACATTGTGCAAAGAAAGCAAAGATTAAGTACACTTTAGGGAGAAAGGAGACGATACACATTGATAACATAGGAGATTAGGGTGACAAAAAAAAGCCATCCAATGCACTATATAGATTGCAATATTCAATAGCATTTTCAACAGAACCTGTTTTTAAATCAAGAGCAAAAAAAAAAAAAAGCAATGTTTACAATAGACATAAATCTTATACAATTCAAAAAGCAGTTTTATTTTCAGGTCATATAGCATAAAGTGGAAAAACATCTATGCAGGTGAAGTCTAACTACTGTACATTAATCACCTATTAAAGTTGCTGATATGTACCACAGTGTAAAAAAAAACAACCACAATACCAAACAAATAAAAATCTTGAAAATTGCCTGATGAAAAATAAAATAACCAGTGACTTTGAATGGCTTATCCTGGTTATCAGTGCTACAAAAAGACAAAAATCTTCTCATCGGAGCAGGTGATAAGACCAGGCCCAATCAAACCATTACCAAATTACACCCGCCCATAGAAATATACTGTCCGCCCACATATTTTCCATCAAAAGCTTTATTTTGTTTGTTTTAATCTTTGAATCTTGGAGGCCCGTTTGGTCACAATATGTTACAAATATTTGTGTGCGTGTTTTTTTACACCATGATAGCATATGTTTGTCTGGCACTATCCTAAAGCTAGTGTATAGGTGATGATGATGATATAGAAACAGCCCAGTGCCCATACCACAAATGAACTCACTGGGTAGAAGTGAGAGAGGGGAGGAAGGAATTCAGTTGGAACAAGGTCCGTATCCATCACTCGTCATCAGTCCCGCTTGCTTCCGACTGTTCCTAAAGCCAAAAGAAGGTAAAATGGGATGAAGTTACATACCGGGACAAGACGACATAACCCATCCAAAGGCAATGGAGAAAGCTAATGACATGTCGGAAAGTTAACGCCCCGCGCCTCTTCGTTCTATGAGAGGATGGGAAGGCACCACAGAGGCCTCGGCAGCCTCGAAGCTGAAAAACTAAAATGACACCCACCCCTGTGCCAGTCTTTCACTCTCTCGCTTTGGCCTGAAAGGTTATGTTTAGCGCTATGTTTTAGAAAACTCGCGGGAGGAAAGAGTACCACGCGTTTACTGTCTACTCCCTGGTATATCTACCGAAGGAAGCACAGTACTTTAAATGTAACGGAAAATGAATGTTCCAGAAAGAAAGCAGTCAGGGGAGGGAACCCGAGGTCCTCGGCCCAGTGCGTGAGATGGAGGCCGCTTCAGAAGGCGAGCCCGGAGCAGTTCCGGCCCCCTGGTTGCCCATGGAGGCGAGGGACTGCGTTGGATGGCGTCGGCTATTTGCACTGAATTCAGCCTCTGCTATCTACTTACATCACCTGGAGCAAAACACACAACCTAAGCACTGATTCATGTTGTGTGTGGAGAGTGACAGCTACCTCACAATGCTAACAGCAGCGATCCCCCATTGTATGCCGTAAGCGTCTGTACAACGCAAGTGGCGGACCTTCCCCACATGCCAGGAACGTCTATAATAAAAAAATGTTTTCCCTAAGCCCTGACCAACTTTAAAATCATTTTTTTGAGAGAATTTTCAGGTGAGAATAGTCAAGAACACTCAAATTGTGAGTAACATATTTATTTTTTAATATTCATTGCAAATTGATTTTTTTAATTAAATTCGAAATGTGGCGTGTGGGGATGGTTTCCGTTCTGGACGTGTGGTAATTAACTGGTTAAATACTGTACCACAGAGGAAGGTACTTATTTTCAGGCTCCACAAATGCTGCCTGAATTTTTAAATTATTAACAATAACACTGCTAGGTACTTAAAAATTCATCTGTTGTTTTTTTGTAGTGTTTTAAAAATCAACTCAAACCCAGCACTCTGACATCCTGACTTTTTTCTTGTTCTTCCATCTAATCCTTATTCCATCTATACATTGCTACTGTCTAGGCACGACGCTGGGGGTGAGGAGATAAAACATTAACTGGCCCTGGAGAAAACTATCTGTAAGTAAGCAGTGGGAAGATAAGAAAGGGGGAGGGGGGAGGCTTGATTTAGTGTTTTTCATTTTTGAAGACCATTAAAAAAGCAATAAACAAAGACCCAAATTCCTTGTTACATAAGCAGGCAGCTCAGTGCACATCCATCAGAAATGAAATCTCACCAAATCTTGACGTTTTTTTCATTTCTAGGTAATAAAGAGAGGAGGCTGGAAAGGACAAGGAAGCGTGAGAGGGAAACCGAAGCGGAGAGAGGGGGCTGCGGTCCGGTCCCAGCTCCACTCACGTTCTCATCCTGCTCTTCGTCGCTGTCGAAGTCGCTCACCACAGGTTTGGCTTTCCCTCGATTTGGCCTTTTCTTGCCTTTTCCCTTGTCCCGACCTTTCTCCTCTTTTTTATTGAGCTTGATTTTCACCTTAACAGACTTTGCTACAGTGAAAACAAAACAGACAGCACTGAGGAGTCACAGGGAACTCATTCTTACAGGGAGATGACAAACCAAAGGTGTGGGTGTGTCCAGATCACTCGTGGCTTATACCTGGTGTCTGTCATCCTGTCTCGTTAGCACCCCTTCCACTGCAAGCACGCCTCGGCGGGGCGGAGGAGTACACACACAGAACCTTACACAGCCACAGAGGGACGGAGGCCAGTGGGTCCTCTCCCCGTCTCCTGAGGACCCTTCTACTTTGTGGAGGGGTGGTGTAGACAGTTATTTAATAGACCTCGGACACTAAAAATTCAACTATTTCAATTTTCTTTTTAATAGCATAGAAAGGTTCAAAATGAAAAGAAAAAAAACACACTCAAACAGATGAATATGAAAGCTTCCTTTCCCCATCTCTAGTCTCTCTACCTACTGTTCTCGTTCTAGTGATTATCTCTAGAAAAAGAATTACACATCCGTATCTACACATATATCCATCCATGTGTGTGTACACACACGCCCTTTCTATCCTTATCCCAAAGGGGTTGTTGTATGCCCATATCCACACCATGCTTTCTCATAGAAGTGGGACATTTCTATGCATCAACCCAAAAAATTTCCACCTTATGTGTACACTCTGATTTTTTAACCAGCCCCCTAGGGATGGGTGCTAAAGTTCCCAGCTTTTTGTCTCTAGAAACGAAGTGCCATAAAGCCTTTGCTGGCATATCCTGGCAGAATTCGGGGCGGTCTGGTGCACATGTTCGTATGGTAAGCCGCTAACAATCATCTGCTAAATTAGCCTTCAGGGAGGCAGCACTCATTTCCACTCTCACAGGAGGATAGAGACAAAAACACCTAGAGGTGTTCAGTGTGCTATAACATAAATACAGGTGTGTATCCCAAAGTATAAAGAAAATCTGTTCCACGGACTTGTTCTGGGGCAAGTTTCCACAGAACACCGCTTCGAGGACCTGATGATGAAGTCACTGAGAATGTGGGTCTCTCATTCAAGCCAGTTTTGCTAGAATATCATGTTTGGTGGGTCTCAAGAAGAATAAAACATGGAGGAGTAAATTTAACCAAGGAGGAGAAGGACCTATACACTGAAAATAACACCACAGTGAAGAAGGCACTAATAAAGGGCGGCATCGTTCATGCCCTTTAAATGGAAAGGATTAACAATGTTAAAATGTCCATACTACCCAAAGCAATCTACAGATTCAGTGCAATCCCTACCGAAACTCCAGCGGCATTTTTTACAGAAATAAATAATCCTAAAATACTTACGGAAACACAAAAGACCATGTCTAGCCAAAAAGCAATCTTAAGAAAGAAGGATAAAGTTGGAGGCACTGCGTTCCCTAATCTCAAACTATATGACAAAGTTATAGTAATCAAAACAGTGATACAGAAATTAATGGAACAGAATAGAGAGCCCAGAAATAAACCTCCCATATATAGTCAATTAATTTATCACAAAGGAGGAAAGAATATACAATGGGGAAAGGACAGTTCTTTAAATAAATGGTGTTGGGGAAATTGGACAGCCGTACGCATAGGAATGAAACTAGATTAATCATAAAACTCCTAGAAGAAAACACAGGCAGTAAGTTCTTTGACATGACCTTGAGATTTGACATTAAAAGGAAAGGCTGTGAATGCAAAAATAAACAAGTGGGATTCCATCAAGCTAAAAAACTTCTTGCACAGCAAAGGAAGCCTCAACAAAATGCAACGTTGACCTAGTAAATGTGACAACACATTGTCATTCATGTATCTGATAAGGCTATACAAAAAACTCATATAACTCAGTAACAAAAAAACCGACAATCTGACATCACCATCACTAATGATCAGGGGAATTCAAATCAAAACCACTGTGAGGTATTATCTCACGCCTGTTAGAATGGCTACCATCAAAATTTCAAGAAATAACAAGTGCTGATGAGAACGTGGAGACAGGAAACCTTGTGCACTACTGGTGGGAGTGTAAATTGGTGCAGCCACTGTGGAAAACAGAATGGAGAATCCTCTCAAAATTAAAAATAGGGGTGCATATGATCCAGCAATTCCATTTTTGGGTACTTATCAGAAGAAAGCAACAAAACACTAACTCAAAGATATATGCACCTCCATGTTCATTGCAACATTATAATAGCCAAGATATAGAAATAAAAAATGTGTGTACACACACACACACATATAAAACAGAATACTTACACAGCCATAAAAAGAATGAATCTTATCATTTGGGACAACATGGATGGACCCTGAGGGCATTATGCTAAGTGAAGTAAGTGAGAGGAAGGCAAATACCATATGATCTCACTTTATGTGGAATATATAACAAGCTCAGAGATACAGAGAACAACAGATTTGGAGGTTGCAAGGTGGCGAAATAGGTCATAAGGGTCACGAGGTACAAAGTACCAGCTATAAAATAAGTTATGGGGTGAAGGTACAGCAGGAGTACAGCTAATAATACTGTACCGCATATTTGAAAGTTGCTAAGAGTAAATCTTAAAAGTTCTCATCACAAGAAACAATTTTCGAACTATGTATCATGATGGAAGTTAACTGGATTTATGAGGATCATTTCACAACACATAAGAATATCTAACCATTACGTTGTATACCTGAAACTAATACGATGTCCTAAGCCAATTACCCCTCAACAGAGAACTGAGAATTTAAGAAGAGAAGCACTGGCAGATGGAGTCTCACCGAGGGCCCCCCGGAAGGCATGCAAGGCTGCTGACACCGAACTCACAGATCTAGATCATCAGTTGTTTTATTGAGCCACAAAGTTCCTGGCAACTTGTAATAGCAGCAATAGCTAGTTAACACACCAAGCCTCGAGAGAGACGGAAGAAGTTAAACTGATAGATGGGCTGGGTGGGCAGCTCTTTGAAAACATAAGAGAAATCTGGCTCTACAGAAGGAAATACCTAGAAACACCTAGCTAAGATAATGTAGGCTTATTCATCAAATGCAGGGATAGAAGCACTGGGGGAGAACCATATAAAATGGAAAATGGTTAAATAAATAAAAGGCAGTATCACTCGGGAGAATGATACTGGGTATGGGGAAACAGACTGCGGCACTGCCGTCAAGGAAGTGAATCCCAGCTGAGTAGTAACATGTAAGCACCACATGTCTGCAACGATTTATGGGTAAGAATGTTTAGGACAGCATTATTTAGAGAGTAATCTATTTTGGTACATTCACTAACGAATGGTAATATAAATTGCTGTTAAAAAAACACCACAAAAACACCACACATATTGCTGTGGGAAAATGCCCCCAATAAATAGAAAAACGACACTATAAAACAGTGTGCTCTACTTTATGAACAAAATACTTACGTGTAGAAAAAACTGGAAGGAAACTTCTCAAAACGTTAAATGTATACTGGGTAATAAAATTATACAAATTTTCCTTTCTTAAAAAATACTTTCCAAATTGTCTGTACTAAGTATGCAATTAGGAACAAATCTAATAAAAAATTTTAAAGCGTATCTGTACTGTTTGACATAGCAGATCATAAACTACTGGGATTTATTACTTTGAGAAGAGGTATGGGGTGGAAACATCATCAGGTAAGAAGAAACTTTAGACTTTTGAAGGCAGATTTAACGTTGGAAGATGAGGGTTATCACCAGGGTGGGACTCTGTATGGCCGAGAGCGAATATAGTACTTCCTTGGGTGCAGAATTTAAGAGGGCAACGAAACTGAGTCATCAAGACAAATAATCTAACGCAATGCTGTCAAAACACAAAATTAAGGCCAAGAGTCCATGATGAACAAAAGTCAATATTTTAAATAAACACACGATCAGTACCTGATCCATGCTGGATAAAATGGACCACATTCCAACAATTATTTTCTCAAGCGGTGGTTCTCAGTGTGGTCCTGGGCCAGGCAGCACCAGTGCCCCTGGGAACTCGCTAGGAACACTGACCCTCAGGCCCCAGTGCAGGCAACTGATCTGGGACTCTGGGGTGGAGCCCAGCTACCAAAACCCTGTGCTACGGAACAGGTAGGAGGTACTGACCACAGTGTTGACAGAACATGTCTACTACACTGGCTTGCTCAGGCAACCTCCAGTGAGCATTTGCCACGTGCTGAGCTTGGGGGCACACATTACCTCATTTTCCAGAGGAGAAAACTGAGCTTGAGCTGGGTTAAGTCGCTGGCAAGGACATGGCAGGACAAAGCTGGAATGCAGATCGGCCTGGCTCTAACATCTGATTTTTTAGCGCCTGTGCAAACACTGATGCAGGTGGCTAAGGGCACAGAAGCAGAAGAACCTGATGCCCGAGCTTACCTTCTGACTCGGACTCCTCTTCATCTTCTTCCTCCTCCTCTTCATTGCTTTCGTCCTCGCTCTCCTCCTCTTTGGCAATTTTCTGCCGAGCGCTCTTAAACACTGACTGTAAGACGATGGAGTCTTCGTAGATCTAAAGTCAGAGTGGCAGCTGTTAGCAATGACAAGCTGAGGGCTGAAGACTCACAATTGCGGTGGGCGCTTCTTCCTTGCGAAGCACACCAGCTTCGCTTCACATGGATTTTACTAGAAACATCAATGCCAGCTTTTATGCCGACAGGATAATCAAATAGGGAAAAGCCCACATGTTCTTATAGAAAAAAGTCCATATGCAGCTGAAATAATTTTAGTGTGTATGTGTCTGTGTATTTGTGTGTGTGTGTGTGTGTGTACAGGCACGCACCTGGGAGAGAAGGGTGGACTTCTGTAACAAATCCTCTCATCTTTGACAATAAAAGTAGTTTAAAAAACTTTTCTTATTTGAATTGGTCTATCAAATAGTGTGGCCAAGCAACCTTCTTTAAAATGCAGTTCCCCTAACAAAATGGAAGCTATTCCTTATTACTGAGCTTATCAGTGCCAGCCAATACTATTCCAATCAATACTTTATTGTTAGTGTACCCACATACCTGAGCATAGCCCTGTAGTTGCTTAGATATGAACTTCTGAAATGTTCCTTTTTCCCCCCCCAAAAAAATTTAAAATAGAAGTACCATATATCTAGCAATCCCACTTATAGGTATACAGCCGTAAGAAGTGAAAGCAAGGACTTGGAGAGATATGCGTACACCCATGTTCACTGCAGCACCGTTACTCACAAGAGCGAGCCAAGCGGTACAAATAAACCAAATGTCCACTAAGAATAGATAAAATGAGGTACATACACATAATGGGATGCTATTCAGCTTTAAAAAGGAAGACAATCCTGCCACATGCTACAACACAGATGAACCCTAGGACCTTACACTGAGTAATAAGCCAATTACAAATGAACAAATACTAAATGATTCCACCTATGAGGTATCTAAAATAGTCAAAGTCATAGAAATAGAACAGTGGTTTCCAGGGGGAGTCATTGTTTTATGGGGACAGGGTTTCCGTTTTACAAGATAAGAGTGAGGAAGATCTGTTGCATGACAATGAGAATATACTGAACACTACTGACCTACACACTTAAAAATGGTTAAGATGATTAAGTTAAGCCAAAAATAAAAAAGGAAAAAATGACCACTGCTCTCGAGGGCCGTATTCTTTTACTTGTAAAGATGCGCTGCACACCTGGCCACTCGTGGTGAGCCCCAATAATACAGCCCAATAGGACACAGGCCTGGGGGTCAGCACTGGGATGGGGCCATGGCAGAGCTAGCGAGAGACATCACAGATGAGCTAGATCTTAAAGGTGAGGAGGATTCCATTGGGGGCGAGAAAGGAGAGCGAGCGAGAAAGGCGAGGCAAGAAAAAAAAAAGACGCACCTGGGGTTGAACTTTCGGGTCACGATACTGGACTATATTACACAGCGTGTCATACCTTGTGACGGTGGAGCGGGTACACAGGCTCCCTGCAATATATCTTATAACTGCATGCACATCCGGGGAAGCAGGTGTTTAAGGGACTAGTCTGACTACTAGACCATAAATTATTTAGTTAGTTCCTCACTTCATAGGAAATGAGGCTAAAGAGTTAGGGTAGGGCACAACTTCAGAAAACAGCCTATGGAGGTTAAATTTATTCAAGAATTCAACAGGGAACCACAGAGCTCGGTGGGCAGTAGACAGACAGGATAAGAGGGTGGTCAGGGAAAGATAAAACTCAGACCCAGTGTGGGCTGGGTGGGAAGCCAGTCAAAGGACACTGCAGGGGTGGGACAGTGAGTGTGGGCAGCCAGGGAGGCTGTGGAGCTGGAAAGGGACAGGGGACTTGGCACAATGTTGCCACATATTATAAAGGACCCCAAAACCTATCCAGAGACTGTACATGTAAATGGTCACTCACAACAAGCCTTTGTTGACTCGTGTATTTACCCTGTGTCCTGGTTTTCATCTCAGCTTTCTTTGAAGAGTGTCTTGAACACACAAGATTTGCTTTCAAGACCTGCTTTGGTCAAAACAGTACTCCTGTTTACTGCCACTAACCTAGACATGTACAGTCTGTTCAAGGCACAGTCTGAGGATTCCCGTGTTCTCCACGTTAGTGATTGGAACTGACATGAAGGTCAAGAGCCAGATCGGGAAGGTGGCCTAAGGTAGTCTGTGTTTGCTGACAGCACACTGGCCGGCAGACACACTGGCCTCTCTTCTTGGTCTTTCTTCATGGGTATGAGGAGCATTAGGCCAGAAAAACATAGGGAAACGGGGGCTCCCACAAAAGGTGCGTGGAAGCGAAGTGGAATTAAAGTGAAAGTGTCCTCCCCCTAGTTATCTTTCATGAATTCACTGTCACTTCTATATGGGTAAGCTTCCTCGCTGTGGATATGGGGAAACAGAGAGAATTGCAATTGGCTTGAAGAAAAGGAAATTCTGGTAAGCAATTAAGGCAATGTGTGTATGTGTGTGCGCACGCATGCACACATACACACACACATTTTTTTTGGTTTTAATCCATAAGTTTCAACTCCCGGTGCAAGGTTACAATCAGAAAAAAGGAATCAAATACACAATCTATAGAGGCCCAGGCTGGACCTCCGGCTGCAAGCATTACACAGAGTGACTGACTGGAATTCCTCCTCTAATGAGAAGCGAAGCCTCTGAGGAAGTGTGAGCAGGAGCTGGTGTAGCTATGGTACGAAAAGCTGGCACGGGTCTGAAAATGCCAAAGCCTCAATGTACTGGTGCAGGTAGCATGGAATACAGGCTTTGCCTTTTCATTTTCTTTCTGCCAGGGCAGTAGCAACGGTGCAAATGTAGAAAATGAAATGTTTTACTTAAAGGAACAGAGGAAGTTCACGGTTACAGTGTGTTAGGCGTTACAGACAGACCTGGGACCCCTCCAGGTTGAAGGTCTGAGCGTTGTGGCAGAGGAGCATGACATCTTTCTCCAGGTCGCCCAGGCTCCGGTACTTATGATTACGAATCCTTTCCTGATGGGAATTTGGGATGAAATAGAGGAAAAGAGGAGGGAGAGAAAAATACAACAGTTATTACTTGCTTCACGAAACCCAGTTTTCCCTTCGTCCTCTCAGCATTTAGCCCTGCCTGGGTGAATTTGCACAATCCAGGGGTGCCGTCCAGACAGCCCGGCCTCCCACGCAAGTGCCTTCTTACGAGGGGGAGGGGGGGTATAGGGGTGGGAAACAGAAAGAGCAATGGGTCTGCAGAGTCTGAAACTTCTTAAACAAAATGCAATATAATAACACAGAGCTCTCGGCAAGATGCTTAAATAACAGACGTGTAAAGGCACAAGGACATCCCAGCCTTTCTGGTGACAGGCCCTGATGGGTGTCGGTGGCAATCAGACAAGATGCCACTAACCACGTCCTATCATCGTTTCAATGAATTTACTTCATTAAAAAAAAGTTTGTAAAAATAAAAATAAAAAATATCTACCTTGATTTTTTTGAAATCCACCGGCTTCCTAATTAATTCATAGTATTCTGGTAATTCTTTCCTTGAAGGTAACTGAATGAAGACTTCACTGAGCTGTCGCCCTGAACTGTAGGGTGGGGGAAACAAACAGACACGTAACAGGGCATGCACTCCTGAGGAAAGGTTCCGTTTCATTTCATTTCAGACAGTGTCAGGCAAGCACGCTGGCATCCCACGCATACAGGTGTGGGCCTCCTCCTGCCGAGGAAAACCCCCAACTGGCCCCGAGACCAGCGCCTCTTCTGCGAACTTCAAAGTCACACTGAAGTGCCGTTAGGTCCCCCCTCCTGACACACACCTGACACGAGAAGTCGCTGTGGATTTCTTCCAGAGCAATCCTCTTTTCATTTTGACAGGAAAATTTAAAATGCCCCTTTCAACCAACGTTCGTTTTTTAAATGAATAATAATTGAGTTGGTAAAAAAAAAAAAAACCCACACAACAGACTTTATTTCCATATTCCTTTGTCTTCAAATTCACTTTATATTTAGAAAATAGGTTAGAATGGACTCTGGAACGGCAAATGAAATGCGTTCGTATGTACCTGGGGACGTCTATCTTTTCGGTCCTGTTCCCTCTAGAATACTTTACACACCTTATTGTTATTTGCCAGAGGAACCCCGTCATCTCGCCTAACTGCGCCTTTGTGTGTATGGAGCAATTTGGGCAGAAAAGAACAGCCATACTAGCAAGTGCGGGTGCCAATGCTGCTGGGACGAGTGCTGTGCCCTCCCCCAAATGCATGGTAGCTTTATTTGAAAGCAGATTAGCAACAAATGCTTAGGATTTTGTAATTTTGAGAAAAAGGCTATAAAGTGATATGTAAGCTTTCTACATCAGTTAATATTAGAAACAGACATGGTTAAAAGAACAAAATATACGCAATTTAGATTCACAAGCCTAATATCTGACGTGGCCCATCTAGATCAATAACAGCTGGATATGGTATAGCCATTTTTCACAATAGCCTTGCTTTTCTTGCGATGCCATCTCTCTTTCCTTTGTGAAGCCAGAAATATCAAAAAATAACTGTAAGTCACCGCCATGTCAATTTCAGAGGCGATTTTAGCAACGTGCCGAAATGCTAAAAGCAGCAGCAAAGAATGAGTGACAATGTGCTGTTTTAATCCATAGTCCCAGTTGTATAATTAAAAAATAATCATAATGACAGTTATCATAAAAAAGGCATGCGCAGTAACTCAAACGGTTGCCTAGCAACCAGTGGGGGAAAATGCTGAAGTGCAAAGGGGCCTGCATAAATTAACCGAAATCTTCTGTCAAAGGGATGGGCGAGTTTCTGTTTTACTAGGTCACTGTTTTATTTTTTAATGCATATATGGGCTTCATGAATACTAAAATCAGGCGCAAACAAAGAGGTTTAAGAAGACTGTAGTGGAATGGGGAATTGGATTTTTAGATTCTTGTGGTAAGAATCAAGGTATTCTCTCACACACAGACTCATAGCCACTCCTACGCACCCCCTCCCCACCTTCCAGGGTTGAGAAATGCATTTGCACCTCCACAAGTTACACCACATAGTATGTAACAAAACCCATTTTATTTACTACCGCCTTCAACATACAGCCACAATTTCTGGTCTATTCTTTTTCTACCATTCTGAGATTTTATATATAGAAACATTTTACCTATTTGAAAAGGAATTATTTGAAAGGCGATTTATAGATACTATAAATTTTTCTATTTCTATCAGCAACTTCTTTATTATTAGCAGTCTCTGTAACCTAGCAACAGTAAAAAAGTCAGACCTCTTTGCAATCTTGGATTTAACACCTGACCCTCAATGACATCGCCAGTGTCATTTTCTACGTTGCCAACAGATGGTGTGATCTTTCTGCTGACACACTATGAGCCATCTCTGCTTTGTACACCTGTGATGGGCACACTCTTCACTTCAGTTGTGCCACCCGGTGTCTGGCACCGCGGTGCGAGAAAGTTCTAACAGGGCCAAAATGGCTCAGTGAGCTTGGTCTGATTCTCTGTCCTCAGTCAGGTTATAGAAACCCTGGACCCTATCTATAAGGAGACAAGTCCAGAATTACATGTGCTCCTAAGAGAGGGGACTGAATGTTCTGAGACTTGGGGCCAACAGTGTAAAATGAAACAAATTTATTGTTTCAAGACATTCCTAGCCCACTTCCTTTCCCCCTTCCGGAGCACAGAGGACACAGGCAAGAGGGGGACCGGGCTGTCGAAGGGAGTTTTCCTGTGGCTCCGTCTGGCTTTCTCAGCTCCTCCTCTGTGAACCTGGCTTGCACTGTTGACCTGACTCCCCTGGTTAGGATATAGCCTCTCTCCTGTGTACCCCCAAGTACCATGGCCATCCCCAACCCCCCACTTTATGACTAATTCCAAGTCTCCAGAGCTGACCCATCTCTCACTCCGTGCTGGAAGGGTCTCTATCCTCTCCCCACCCCTCAAATACTTCATTATCCATCCAGGATTGAGAAGCCCTTCTCCATAAAAATGAAAAATTCTCCCCAGTATTAACTAACTCTCGCTGCCTCACTGCTCAGAACTTAATTCCTCCATGTGTGTCCCTCCTCCTCCCCCACACAGGGTGGGCGCATTTTCCTTGCAGTCAGACCCTGCCCCTCCCCTATCAGAGGCCATGGATCTGACGGGCAGCGCAGGAGGAAATGCCAGCGGTCCTGGGGCACGTAACCTACAGGACGCCCCGAGTCGCTGTGACCACTCGTTAAGGAATGGCTGCAGTTAACGTATTTTTCCCTCAAGTAAATGGGGGGAAAATAAGAAAAAGGTGGAAGTGCAGCTGCCTGATAGTTTTGAATTCTTGGCATTTCTTTATCAACTTAAGCTGAGCAAAGGTGTTTTCAATGTACCTTTTCAAGTGCTTTTTTCCCCCAGTGCTGGAAAGTTATGTATTTTTTTTAAAAAGTACAGAACAATGGACTAATTGTATAGTGGTTTGCAGAAGGTGTTCTGTTTCTGTTGAAATGCTTACCCTACCCCCAAGGCATTTTCCATTATGTCACTGTACACGATTTGAGGCCTAAGTATAAATTGCTTCCCATCACCAAAGTGATACCCACTCCCCTCCTCCAAAAAAGGATTCCACTGATGGCCTGTACCTTCACATCTACTTTATACAGTGATCTATCACAAACTAAGAAACGTGACCTTGATAAGACCTAAGGTGGGGGGAGGGGGCACAGCGTCACCTGAAATAAAAATTTAAAGTAGCCCACTGCACTTACCAGAATTTCCTGGTGCTGGTGGGCAAGCACAGCTTCTCTCCACAGAGCCAGTGGGCATAGGGACACAGGGCCATGATGCCATGCTGTGAGATGCTCAAGCCCTACATGCCGCTGTCTCAATGGTGGTTTGAAACCCTGCATGTATAGCTTACACGCTTACACGCTCACACACACACCCTCTCACACTCTCTTGAGATTTACTCTGCTATGCCTCATCTGGGAACCAATATTTCTCCCATTACCTCCAAAACCCAACGGCAATAGTTTCATATCTGAACTACTGTGATTCTAAAATGATGACTGCACACCTTATAAACATTACGTCTGCATCGGCTTTACTTCTGACTATAGTTTAGGTACTGTTGGAAGAGTGCAGAAGACTGAAATGCCAGCTGGGAAACCGACTCCTTTAAAATATGGCTTTCCAACAAGCCCAAACCAAGAATATATGATACTGGGTGAATCTTTCTTTTGGTTTTGCTGCTTTATGGTTTTCCTTTTTATCTGCCCAAACTAATCTATTGATAAGCACTTCCAATAGCTACTTGTGAAAAAGAGATTTTAACTAAAGTTGAGACAGGTTTTATTTAATGAATGTAAAAACGTGGCTACCTTGCCTAAGAAAATGATGTCATGCTTTAGAAGACCACTTGGAGTTGGAAGACTTTTACAGAAAAGTTATTACAGTCCTAAAGGAATCCAACCCAGGAGATCATGTGGGAACAACTATAAAACTGGGTCAACATTGGAGGCCAGTAGGCGAAAGCAAGCTGCTGCTTTTCAGGGTCAGATTCCTGGGAGACTTATCTCATACACGTCACTTACACATGCACTCCGATCAGAGCAGCACCCCACTAACCAGAAAGACCCCAGACATCCTAGCCAGCCCCAAACTAGGTATCACCTGCACCTGCACTCCGTACTCACTGCTGCGATCGCTCCTCGGAATCTTATTGGGTGCTGACGGGTGACGATTCCTGACAAGCTTGGAAATCTGACCTCTAGGACTCAAAACAGAATGGATGGGGCAGGCCTGCTTCTGGTAGTGGACTTGGGGGTTGTAAAAATGACCAAGCATTATGTTAAGGACTGTAGGTATATGATGTGCCTGAGTTGTCAACAAAAATAAGGTTGCATTAGGTTAGTGCAAGGTAAAGCCGATGTAAGGAGACCACAGGGGCGCGGCCAGCTCAAGAAGAAAAGCACGGAGGCTGTACCCAGAGCCTTAAATACAATCACACTTGGAAGCACGGTTTTAGTTTTGGTAATCCACTCTCAGCTAAAAATGTAGCTGCATATAATTTTATGGATAGATATTTTACATGTGTATATGCACACACGTATTTTGTGTATATCTATATATGTGCATACGCACACGTAATTATATACATGCATGTGTACATATAGTTGTATATGTATAGTCCATAATTATTTTAAAATTATGTGCCTTAAAAAATAATATATACTTGTTATGAGAATATTCACCAAAAAACACAAAAAAAACACACCCACATAGGATATTACATTTTAAATGCAGGACTTCAACGAGGTTTTTAAAAAGGCATTAACTATATGCCAGAGCGTAAATAAACATAAATAATGTAGTCTTATTGAAAAAATATAAAGGCTTACAACCTACTGTAATTTGGAATCATCCATAAATAAGGTAGGTTTCAAACACTTTTTATTGGGTGACCTTCTTTGAAAATATGCTATAAGTCAAAAGTCTGATCTGATTTTTCCCAGAGAAATGCTGTCTAAGGGACATGTGCCCCATCCTTATTTATATCAGCATGAATATCCCATTTCACCAATTAGCACCTTTTCACTC